ATTTACTTGGCAGTCAATGGGACAGTCACAAGCCTCCCGGTTTTCATCCAAAATATCTTAAATTGTGTTTCGAAGACGAACAAAGCTTTTATGGGTTTGGAATGACATGGGGGTAAGTGATTAATGACAAAATTTTCATTTTGGGGTGGTGTATCCCTTTAAGAGGTTTATGAACAATCTGAGGAAGTTGCTTGTTTCAAAACTTCAAATAGCTACAGAAGAGACACATGAATGCTATAATAGACCAGCTGTGATTTGATGACATTCTTACCTGTTTGCTGTCCACCTCAATATCAGCAACATAGTTCTCGAACACTGTGGGTACGTAGACCTCAGGAAACTGGTCTTTACTGAAAACGATGAGTAAACACGTCTTTCCACATGCTCCATCCCCAACGATTACAAGCTTCTTACGAATTGCAGCCATCTGTCACACAAAATGAAAAGATCAGCCAATAATTGCAAGAGGCAGGTGGAAATTGTTTTTTTGATAAATAGAGAATTGTTTGTGAATGTCTGCCCTCCTCTACTGTTTCATGAGGAAGAGCAATTCTGAGGTGGAAGTACTCCAGACATTCTTGAAAAAATATATAAACCAGGCATACAGCAGTATTATTTAACTATATCTATATTGTCATGATTCTGTTGTATCAGTGTTTGTACAGAATTCTAAAGTAACTGAAAAACATAACAGGAACCAATTATACGATACTCTGTAAAACTGTCTTGATCAAATATGATTCAGAAATATTAAGAATTCTCAAAAACAGTATTAAATCAAATATAATAATCTCTTATCTAAATACGTATGTTGTCATAAACCAACAAAATTAAGAGCTTTATTTGCAAACGTGAGTCTGGAGTGGACTTACAAAGACCGTGTGCAGGTGGCTTATTAAGAAAAATAGGAGCCAATGGTGTGAAACCAACTTGACAAAAAAAGTTATATCTATGAATTTGAATTACACAGATCATGAGAATCTTTTTCAACTGAAGAAGCTTATTAAATATGTTATAAATGTTTATTTTTGTTGGTCTACTGGCAACTCCACATTTTTATATAATCCATGTATTCAAATATTCAGATTGCATTTATTTATCAACCATTTTTTAATCATTGTGGATACTAAGACATTTTTTTTCTTTTGAGTGCTTTGAGTTAGAAACAAGCATTAAACAATTTTGATGGATCTACATTTTTAATGAAAGGACTACTGATTGAAATGGACAAATATGGATTACAGTTTCAGTATTTTTCATTCAGCATCCACCTCCACAATGAAAACAATGCGAGTAATGTTCATAAATGAAAAGCTTGTGTTGTGAGCACATTTAATTCAGCTAATGCCTTTTCATAGCAGTCTCAGTGGGCTCATTAGGAATAACAGGGGTCTATGGTGCTGTTCTTTGTGAACCAACTTGATTTAGTTAGAAACAAGTCATTTATCTCAGGCCTTTTCTGTCTTATATTTCAAAATAAAACAACAAGTGAGCTCATTAGGGTTCCTTCCCCCATGTCTACATTCATATTTCAGCCATTTTAATGATCTGTACACATTGTTCTTGTGTCATTATAGCACTGCAGTATCAACCCCTCCTCTCTCACACACACACACACACACACACCTCCCAGCTGCTGTCACAACACACCGCACCCTGTTCAATTCACTTATCAACGCTTATAAACACACATTAAAGCATTACACATACATTTGGACTCACTGTGAAACAGCTGACTGCAGTCGGGTCAAAATAATGTCGCTCAAGTGACCTTTTATAGTTTAACAATGAGTCAACCATTGATTCAACGAGAGTGAAGGCTTAATGAGGGATACAATAGCCGTTTAAAGGGCTGAGTGCTATATTGCAGAACAAAATGAGAGCTGGTGATTATAACAGCCGCATGTCCCCGGTTTGGTTTACTCCCTATGCTAACTGGGACGCCTCATCTCGCGGCCTATTGAGTGTAACGTGAGCACCGTTTGGATTCGATTCGACTAGATCCACAAATCAATTCTAGTATTAAACTTTCCAGACGTGTTACAGTCGTGATCATCGGAGTTTAATGCAATTATGAACTCATGTTCGGCATCTTGTTGTTCGTCCGTTTCCGTCATCATCACACTTAGCCGTTTAGCACCGAGCTAGCCGCATATGAAAGGCATCTTTTTATCTCACTGGAGCGGTTTTTAAAAATGCTAATCTGTTGTATTGGCTCTAGACCGTATGGGGAATAAATAAACATATCGATTGTAAATATCAGAGCTGTTTTTGTGTGAGTATTTATTTACCGTTTTTCTTTCAGATGTCCTCGCTTTCTTTATCTTTTCCTGTACGACCCCAAGGCCCCGCCCCGCAGACGGTGCCACGCCGCTAAGACACGCCCATTCTCGTCGTTTCCACCAATCAGAGGCAGAGACGCTGGAGTGACGTCCAAAAGCCAGCAGCCCCTCACTGCAGAACATAAGATCCAGGGGGCGTGGTTGGATCCACATCTAGGGGGTGGAGATTGGTAGGTTTAGGGGTGGAGTTGGGTGGGTTTAGGTATATGTAAGGTGGGAGGAGTTGGATCTGGATCTTGTGCCCCCTGGATCTTGTGTTCTGTAGTGAGGCCCATCTCCCAAAAGCAGAACAGCAACATATATTTTTGAATGACTTTTTAGTTGAAATAGACTTTCTTCTCATATCTCTTAATTTAGTCAAGTCAAGTCAAGTCTGCTTTATTGTCAATTCTTCCACATGTACAGCACATACACACAGAGAATTGAAATTGCGTTACTCTCAGACCCTTGGTGCATACAGATAACATAAATACAGATAGGTACAGATTAAATACAAAATACAACTATACAAATAAGGTAAAATGTAAATATATATATATATATATATATAAAGCATATCTTTTTTATGTATTTTTACAATATATATAGCCCTGTATAAACATTTAGAAAATACATTTGCTTCATTTTAACTGTAATTGGAAATAATGCATTTTTGTTTCTAATATTTGTATAGAAAAGGTTTAGAAGTAAATATGGTCTAGATTCATGAAATCCCCTCAAAAATGTGTTATTATTAAAGAATAAATATTACTGAAACAAAATATAGCATTCATTTCATAATTCATTTCATTACCAAAAAAAGCTTATTTGGTATGTTTAGACCTCCGAGGATCGTAAGTGTGACCTCTAAGTGAGGAATACCAGAGGGTTAAGGATCTACTCACGCTTTTAGCCCCTCCTCAGCATGCATTTTGGGGGCACACTCTCTCAGGGTGTTAGCATAGCCGGGCTGCGTCTGGATACGCACTTTACATGCTTCCATAGGAGCCAGTGCAATATCAGCAAAAAATTCAGCACTGGCAGATGCGGCCAGATACACTGAAGTCCTCCACAAATAAGCATTCTCCTGCTCACCAGACCAAAAATGACAGCAGTTAGCTGGTGATATGTCACAAACGAATATGCAAAAATATGTCCAATTAAGCATTTTGAAATGATCTTTGCAGGTTGTCTTTGTATCCCAAAGACGACTCACCTCTCCAAGCATGTCGTTGTACAGGGCCTTAAAGACTTCATAGAAACCAAACTTGCAAAGGCCTTGCATGGAGTAACCAATGAATGTAGGAGCCCACCCTTTGCCCAGACCCCTCAAGCCATCCTCTCTCAGGGTGACTGAGAAACCATTGAAAATGGACTTGTACTTATCCGGGTCCACCTGGAAGACAATATAAATGATGCATTTGCCTAAGTCTGGTTACACAATCAGTCAAAACAAGTTGGTAACTTCTCTATTGTAACATTAAAACGTGTAGACACTAAAGAAGTAAAACAGACACCTGTATGCGGCATTTAATGAGGTCGAGGGGCACGACTGCTGTGTGTGTGAGACCACAGCTCAAAACCCCACCGAAACCGCAGAGGGCGTAATATTTATTTGACCCATACTTACAGCTCACATCTGCATCTGAGGGACAAAAACACACATTTAACATCACAAAACTGCTCACAAACATCAATACTGTGTGTGATAAAACAGAGGAAAAAGTACATGTGAGCTTAAGTTAAGAGTTCATGACAGATACCGTAGTGTTGTTTGAATTGAGAATAAATTGTTTCAGTCTGATCCAGTTCAGAAAACCTGAATGATTTATTTATGAACTGGATATTGTGCCTTTCTCGAGTTCAACTCACTAATTCAATGAACTGTTTGCAGCAGTTAACAGTAAATAACCGAATAAATTGAGTTTGTCACACAAAACTCTGGCATTGCAGAAGACTTACATTATTTATATACATTATATATTCTTTACAAACCATTTGAACTACAATCATGATGATTTTGCAAGCTTTGTCTTCATTCATTGCAATTGCATATAGAAACCAATCAGCACTAAAATGTCTTCTTTTGTGTCCCATAGAAGGACGAAACAGGAATATAATGATATTTTGGGTCAACTATTCTTTTAACAGTAAATAGGTGTCCTTCATATTCAAGTGCAATATTTTCTTGAGAAAAAGTGTCTAGGAATTAACAGGCGATCATGACAAGGTAAAGTCTATTAGCCACACGTGTAATCCTTTTGGAGGAGGTTCATTCTTTACGAATGGAATGACGAGCAGTCAGACAGTCGGAGTTCACTTTAAATATAGTAGTGTATTTTCACTGAGCATCCAACAACCAACCAACAACTGAGTAATGCCAGCAACCAAAAAATGTCCCAAAAAATCTTACAACACATAATAACAACCATAACAATTACTGCAAACAAAAAAGCAACCTAAATAAATACTAGGAAAATAACAAACAATAAATAAAACAAATAAAATATAAGAGGACAAAATAAAAAAAAAATATGCAAAAGCCATATTCCATGTCTACTTTTTGCAACCAACTTTCCAATTCAGAAGATAAAGACGAAGAACTTCTTACCATCAGAAGCTGCTGCAGCAAGTTTGCGTTTTATCTGCTGGCTCTCTTGTTGCTGTTGTGGTTTCATGGAAAAAAAAGGAGTCTGGAAAGGATTCAACCGTGCCTGCTGTGTTAGGGCGATTGGGTACATTTTCACCAGGGTTTACTGCTAAAACAGACAGGTGACAATTAAAATCAAACAAAAGTAAGCCGTTCTTGCACACATTGCTTAGAAATAAAGCACTTATCTCTCATTCAAGTATTTGAGAAATTCATATTGAAAGAAATCGTCCACTCACTTGTTGGTTGTAAAGAAACGGCGCCTCCTTGGTGCATCAGCGGCAGGCGAATCTAAGACATCAGATGACCTCAGACTAAATCCCCCTGACCTTCTGTGACGTCATCACACTGAGAATGAACACCAACCCATTTGAAAGAGGAATTATGTTATTATGGGCCACACTAGCATTCATGAAAAAAACTCCACCATTCTGTGTGGAGTTATTGGTGTAAATATGTGTCCAACTAAATTATAGTAACTGATGGTTGAGTCTCAATGCAAACTTCAGCTCATGGTAGCGTGTGTGAGCTTATTACTCACAGCAGTGGCTGGTGTAAGGCGATTAAACTCAATGAGACGCTCTATTCCTGGACCAGAGCAGAGGGCCTTGCAGAGTTATATCCTCCTTACCTATCCCAGATCAAAGTAAGGTCAGACTTGCCAGTGTCTCTGTGAAGAACTGCTACAAACCCCTTCTCTCAACTTGAAGGCAATACATTTAGTAAAGGAAGTGTGCTAATAAATTAGGTCAAACACACACACACACACACACACACACTTATCAAAATAAACCAGCCAACTGAGATGTAGATGAGGTAAACTGCTTTATTAAACCATATTCTGTCGTATACATAAAGTACCTGAACGCTCCCAGATTTCTCACAAATCTACAGCACCTTATAATATAAAATAAATACATATTCAGAATATTGAATGGTAAATGCATCAGTCTTAAAAGCAGAGTAAAGGGCACAATGGTGGCCATTTTACCCATTGTCCAGTTCTACCAATGTAACATATCAAGTATCAGGATATTACAATGTTTATGAACCCAAATTTTTTAAAGTCACTCAAATTTAATAGTGATCATTTCCAAATTTGAGAACTAGACTGTCGAGTTCTTGTTGCAAACTCTCAAGTAGGTTGTTCAAATTAATCGTTGACATGTTACAAAACTACTTGTAACGCCGACATCCCAAAATAACAAAAATGAAATGGATTAAAATGATAATAAAAATATTAAATGGAATTACATTGCAAAACAGTTTATTGAAAATATTTGTATTTCAACAACATACACAAATACTACAAGGGCCGTCAATGTTAAGATACGGCACCTATAAAGAGCTACATGTGAAAAATGCAAAAATAGTCACAAGTAGACACTAAACGTAGTTTACAAACAAAACAAGTGTATTTAGCTAACTCCTTCAGCACTTCAACTCAGACTCACATTCATTGACAGCACCAACAATTATCTGTAAAATAATGTACAAATGAAACACACACTCAACATACAAAAGGCAAGAAAAGTGACCGTTTTAAAATTAAAACCAGGCTTCATTCCTCTAAACCGGTTCATTTGGAAGAGGGTATGAACAGACATGATGCAAAAGCTGGGGCTTTCTGTCTTTGTATGAATCTATAAAGATCGCAGATAAAAGTCCACGGCTGCTGTATCAACAAAGACGTACTGGCTGAGTATGATAAAGAGGGAAAAGACTGGGGCGATTCGCATAACATTCATTTGCTGGTGCCATCATCTGCTCCGCTCTGCTTGAAGAGTCCAACCTCATTAGTCTCCATGGCCTGGTAGACAAAGAACAGGAATCCAGCGACTGCACTGAGCAGCAGAAGCTGCACCCACACAGGCAGGCTGCGCCGCGCTCTGGTCTTCACAGCAGGGGGCGCCACGGGCTTGGAAGCGGTTAGAGGGACGGCGGTCACATGTGGAACAGATCTGGTCTCTGTGTAGGTGGAGGAGGAGCTGGTTTCTCTGAGCTCCTTAAGACGGAGACGGGATTCGTCCAGCCATGTGTCACCGACCAGGGGCCGGCCAGCTGCTCCTCTGATTGGTCGGCGACAGGTAGCACTAAAAATACATTTGAAAAATAAGTAAATATTTTGAAAAAAAATCTGCTTCCAAGGAAATGTACCTCATTTTAAAAGTTTTTTTTTTTTTTATTAAAAAAAAAAGAACATACTTTTCCAAAAATACTTTTACGTTGTCCATACATTTAAAAAAAAAAATTAGATTTATAGTTGTTTATTTGCAATCTTTTGGTACTTATCGGTTAGCTGAAATTATCTGTTGTTTGTGTATACAAACATTCAGTTTTATAGGTCATAACACTCATTCTGTTCAGAATTATTTTATATATAAAAAAAACAAAAAAAAAACTATTGTTAAAAAATTAACAATGCCTACAATCACTTGAATAAAAGTCTTATGATAAGCATGTTAATACTTTTGATATTTTTTGGGAGACAAAAGAGTGTGATACAACTGTCTGAAAAGAAACCAAATTGTTTGCCACAATCTTTTAATTATTATTATTATTTTATAATTAAATTTTTTTCTTTAAAATTGTATAAGTTTAAAGGGAGTTTCAAAACAGATTTTTAAAGACATGGACACTCTTATTTCTGTTTGACCCTGGTGTTTGATCAGTGCAAGTGCTCTTCCCTCCATACCTGATTCCAGTAGGGGTGCTGAGGTTTTCATTGGGAAAGATCTCTTTAAGCACATCTCTCTCGACCGTCCTCGGGGTCTGATCAATAGCAGACACCTTTTCAACCTGCGCACAAATACAGCCACAAAGACGTGAACGCTGGTGCGGGATATAACATCACCACAAACATTGCTATACTGAAGATCCATGTTGTCAGTTTTCACTTTAAAAACAAAAGAAACACGTTACATCACACCACAGCCGTGCATAACCTCAGTGACTCTTGAATCCCAAGTTTCCTCATTACCTTTACACACCTGTGGAGCCAAAAACCATAAAGATCATGAAATTACCATTGCGGTCTTTGGCATCTCCGTCTGGCTGCTATCAAGTCCTTGGACAGAAGTGATTTGGGAAAAGAAAGGGGTGATTTTGAACAGTCTAGTCTTGGTCTGGGTCTTTGGTGAGCCAAAGCTCTCCTGATAAACCAACAACGTAAATTACAGCTCAAAATTCATGTAACATTGTAACCCATTACCATGTCAAAAACAAATGTCCATAAATGAACAATTATTCAACTGCAAACCTGAGAATGGTCATATGAGACAGGAAGAGAGTCCTCTGAAGCTGTACGGGGGGAAGAATCCCTAAAAGAAACTGCGTGTGATGGAAAAACCTCTCTTCGGCCATCACAGGACGGTGAAAGACGGCTCACCATGTCTATCAGGGGTTTGGAAGGTTTGGTTTGACTCAAATGAGGCTTTGAGAGCTTCGATACTATGACAGATTTGACTTCCTGTGCCTTCAGAGAACAGAACAGAACCTCGTGAGCTACTAAAATGAATGTTTAAAACGGTTATGAACCATCCGTGGATTGCCACGAGACATACCACAGGAGAACGGCTCGAAGGTCTACAGTTCAGTACGTCCTGCATACCCTGGCCATCCACCTGAGATTATGAAAATTTAAGTTAAGATCCTTTATGTTGCACACATATGCATTTTGAGGCTGACTAGATGGACAAAAGTACAAAATGGTGGTTTGACATCTATTATATGTTGATTTAGAGCTAAAACCATTAATTAATGATGGATGTGTGTATTTTCACCTCAACGCAAGCAGTATTAAGCAGGGAAACGAGCGGCTCTCGTTTGGATGGTCTAATCAGAGGGGAAGTGAATTCAGCGGCATTCTCATCAAACTACAGAGAAGACATTTGAGTGACGCACACACACACACACACACACACACAAAACAATGACCAACTCTATTAAATGTGATGCTTTCATTCTCAAGTTGAAAGACATGGAAGATTTATAGAGGGTTGGCACCTTGTCAGCAGTAGTGGCGCCATGTAAACCGGATAAGGCAGACTGGTAAGGAGAGTTGCGCCATTTTAGTGATTCTGCCCAGTTAGTTGCAGACATGGAGGAGCGTTTTGAGGGTTTGGGATCCTTTGGCTCTACCTTTAATATGACACCATAAGAAACACTGTGGCACTGGAAAATGAGCTGCATCATGTTCATGTGTGAGGTTTCTTCTGGACCTACCAAAGGTTGTACTTTCATCCTCACCAGAGGAATAGAGACCTCCTTCAATACTGAGGGCTCAGAGAAATCCTACGAGACATGATTTCCAAAAAAACAAATGAGGCATGGTGTTCCAAACCTGTATGAATTTTTCTTCTTTTGAACACAAAAGATGACATTTTGAAGAATGTTGGTAACCACATGCTGGTAGCCATTGACTTCCATAGTATTTTTCCATACTATAGAAGTCAATGAAAACCTGTTTAGCTGCCAACATTCTTCAAAACACCATCTTTTGTGTTCAACAGAAGAAACTCACTCACAGATTTGGAACAACTTGTGGGTGAGTAAATGATAGAATTACATTGAGAATTTCAATTGTTTTGCCTTTCAAATTAAGATCTCAGACAAGGGTTTTTAAGCAGACAGACACCTTATCAGTAACAGGAGCCTCATTCAAATCAGGCCGATATGAGCGGACTGGTGCGCTGCGTCGTCTCAGAAATTCAGTCTTAGATGAGAGCTTTGACGTCTTGTCTGTGAGCAAAGGTCTGGGCTCTTTTCTTGTTGCCTTTAATATAAGGACAAAAGCATGTACATGAAGTCAGCCTCATAATTTAGACAGTTGGCACTACGCCAGTGTCATGACCACCTACCACAAGTCCTGTTCTTCTCCTGTCTTGAGTAACAGGGAAGTACTCAACAGATGAGAGCTCAGAGTTCTCCTGAAAACACCACACATGCATACAAACCCCATTTACCATTGAGTAACAAAGTATATTTCAGCCTTGGCTCATTTGTGAAACAAATAGGAGCTCAACCAAACCCTGTCCACCAGTGTGCAAACCCAAATATATATATATTTTTTTAAACTTTATCACCACACCCAGAAACCAGGTGATGCACAATAATATCATAACCACAGATTATGTTACATTTTCGTCGCTTGCAGGAACCATCTGATCGAGCCTGTGAGAAGATCTCTTCAACTTTCTCTTAATGTTCAAAACCGGCATATCTTCCTCCTGCTTATGTTCCTCATCCTCCTACACATCACACAACAAAAGGTCTAGAATTTTCCATACATGAGTAAATGGCTTATCTGATACTGACAGCAGGTATGACAACACTCAAATGTGGAGCAGTCATGTGACCACCTGCAGTAGGTCAGATCTCTTCTACACCAGGTGGTGCTACTGAACCCTGAACAGATAATGCTGGGAAAATATGCAGGTAGGAACATCACTTGGGGGAAAAAATGGCAACGGTTTATATTAGAGACAGTAAAC